GGAAAGAACTGTCGTAAGCCAAGAAAGAGGAGGTGCAAGACCCTGCAAAGGAGCCTGAGGAGAGCAGCTTGGCATGTTCAGGTAACCCCAAGGAGGGGTGAAGGTCAGAGAGGTGTGGACCCGAGTGCAGATCATGTGGGGCCACAAAGGTCATTGGGAGGACTTTGGCTTTTATTGGAATAAGATGGGAAAGCATCTGAGCAGAAGTGATCTGATCTGGCTTACCTTTAACAAAACCACTTTGGCTGCTGTGTTGAGATAAGACTATAGGGGGCCAAGAGCAAAGCAGGGAGACTAGTTAGGACGCTGGCACAATAACCCAGCAGGAGGGGACAGTGGCTTGGCCAACGTGAGGGCCACAGAGGTGCAAGACCTGGAGGAAGTCTGCATGCATTGCATTCTGAGGGTGCGGCCAAGAGCACTGAAGGTGGGACCAACAGCATTGCAGCTGGAATGGATGTGGATACGATAAAGAGGAATCCAGAATAACTCTTAAGTTTTTAGGCCTGAGCAACTCAAAAGATGGAACTGCCATTTACCAAGATGGAGAAGATTATAAGAAAAGAATATTTGGGGGAGAAAGATCCAGAAGTAGGTGTTTTGAACATGTTAAGCTTGAGATGTCCGTTAGATCCAAGAGGAGCTACCTAGCCTGTAGGCAATGAATATTTGAGAGATCCAGGAGAGGGGTCTGGGCTGAAGAGGTCATTTGGGAAACATCAGAGTATTGATAGTTCTATATGACACTCTCCGTTAGTGTAATTAGAATTATTCTAATAAAAATAGTTTTGCAAGAACTCATCTGCTTCACAAAGCAAAATACCCTCGTGTATATACTATACTGTAACAGTCCCCTGCTGAGAGGTATCCTGAACTCCCCTCTCCCCTTGAGGTTTGTGTGGTATGACATCTTATTTGCCCATTTCAAAGGGATTAAATGCCTCCCTCCCTTCCCGACGTACCATATCCCCAAGAGGCAACCATGTGGTTGCCAGCAGAGAATAGCTCAGTTGCTCTTGCAGTACATTTTAAGGCAGATGAGAAAAGCCTTCAGTCTGGAATAGAAATATCTCACAGACAATTTGGCTCCAGGGCACCCCAAGAGAATGAGGGACACTAAGATGGGAGGGCACAGGAGGATGCTTCCAGGCTTCACCTTCCCCTGGAAGTGTGAACACCCAGGGAACACCCACTCCGGGAATAGGACAATAAACTGTGTGAACCTAAAAGGGGGGTGGGGTGGGGGCAGTACAGAGACACAGGCAGGCTTCCCTCGGCTTTATACTGCTGCAAATGGCAGATGCCTAATTAAAGCATTTGCAATTAGTTTGGCTTGTTCTGTGATTCCTTTCTGCAAACAAATAAGATGGGAGAATATATTAGCTCTTGGCAATCTAGTTCTAAAAAAACTTTTTCTCCCATCATCACTCTTTTGTCCTGCTCAGAAAAGAGCTGAACCACTAAGTACACGTAGTAAAGCATCTGACTTACCTCCTTGTTCAAAACAGTATTTTTCCTTCCATTTCATATGAGAGTGCAATTACCCATTTGCTTTTAAAGCATGAGTATTTATTTTGAATTTAATACAAGTTCTTAATTTGGATGTGTTATTTTTATTCAATGAAGATAACAGTCTTCCTAATTCTTCTATCCTTCTGATTCGACACACTAGGCAATGTTAACCGCCTACTCAAAACGCAAATGATATATTTTGTAACGATGAGAAAAGCATTCACTAGACTTTGAGAGAACTTGAGGGATGCGTGTTTGTGTGTGTGTCTGTGTATGTGTAAATAAAGAGTTGCACTTATTGCCACTTTATAGCAACCTACTTGAAGGCATAGACTTTTTCTTCACTGTAGCAAAAAACACCAGGTCCACTTTAAGCAGAGAAAAATGAACCATGTGGGACTATCCTTCATTCATTTATTGGTTCAACATTTACTTGAGTTTCTACACTGGTTCTTACGAATTTTAACCTATTTAAACTTAGATATTTTCTCCAATAAGTATATTCTGCAGATGGATCCTGAGATAAGGATTTTGGGCGTGTGCTGGACTTTTACATATGTGGGTGATATGCATTATTGAGATGTGGCCCATCTCCAAAGGGTGGTCCATGTAAAACATAACACTGGGAAGATTGTCACCACACAAACATCGTAAATAAGAAACAGGAACTAGACTGCTTTATATCAACCTGGAAAAAAAAGACATACAAAAATGAAGTTTTAAATCTGATGTTCATTCTTTTCTGCTTTCAGATAGGTTTGCCAAGTGCCTCATTTAAGAATGCCCTAAATCCAAAATAATAATAGAGAGCGGGAGTTACTCAAGATTCAAATAAAAGTTACCATATAAACAAGCATGAGTAAACCAAATTGAAATAGTTAGCGCAATTATTTTTTAACAGATAGTTTAGGTTAATAGGTGGAGACACGGTTCTGCCACTGTATTTAAGGTTAGGTTAATAATTAACTTTGGTGCCTGGAGTAGTTTAATCAAAGCTTCCTGTAAATCATAAAACTGTTCCATGCAGACAAAACAGGGTATTAAAAAACCATACAAAATGCTTGCAATCTTGACCTTTGGAACGTGTGGATAAGGTGTAAAAAAGTAAGATATTTTCATTTAGGATTGACACAGGCAACTTTACTTTTGGGAAAAACCTAAATAAAGGATTCATGTATCCAGAACCAACAATTCCCCCTGCTAACAGAGTGGCAGACTGTGGACTTGATGCCCAAGATGTATGTTGGAAGGTAGACTCAAAATTACAAGGATAGAGAAAGGCCAGGCAGAGCACAGGACCTCTCTCCTGGGAAGGACTTAAAAACCAGCGCTGGGGGGCATTAAATAGCTTTCCTGAGACCTACTGGCAGAACACTACAACTGGGTTAAACATCTTTTCAGATTTGAGGCAAAGAAAGTTGTGCGTACAAGTGTGAGAAAGTGTGTGTGTGTCTGTGCGCGCGTGTGTTTTAAACCTTTTGCAGATCACATTCAGCAGTAACTTGATTTCCATCCAGCCTAAGCAGAGCAGAGAGCGATCCCACGGTGGCCGTGCCTGGCCACTGCATCCCCAAAGCAGCCACCTTTCTCCCAGGGACCTGACGCGCAGAACGGCCACTGGGGCTGCCCAGTGCAGTAAGGCCGGAGGACGCCCCTGGAAGTGCCTGTCTCGGCTGTGAAGACAACGGTTCATCCCTCTGCTTCACGCACACCTGGCTCCCTACTCCGCTCCTCCCTCGACACCCGCAGGCTGGAAAACGGCGCGTGGGGCGCAGGAGGCTGTGCATTTTGCATTTGGAGCTGGTACTTGCAAGCCAGCGAGCCCCAGCCAGTGTCCACACGCACCCGCGCGCCAGCCGCTGTCCACACTGGCCGCACGGCATTCCAAGCTCTGCCCCTCAACCTCCCCTTCCTCCCCCACCCCTTCCTCGATTGCTTGAGAGCCTGGTCCAACAAGTGCAGCGCTGAGACCCCAACCAAGCTGACCACCAGCCTGGGGACGCCACTGTGCGCGAGCACCTAGCTCCTAGCCGCATCCTGGACCGTCCACCCGCTTCCCTCCGCGGCCGGTTTCCCGCGGTCTGCACACGCGGAGCCCCAATCCTGTCATGCCTACCGCCCATGGCTTTCAGGAAAACTTTCCAGAAGTGCCTGGTCGAGTGACCCCGTGCAGGAGAAGGAGGAGAAGGCGCCAGGCGCTGGGCGCAGGGGCGGCGAGGGAGCAGGAAAGACAGCAGAAGTCCTGTTTCCTTTCCCGACACCCAAGTCCGGGACTGCTCCCTGGCTCCCCCTGTACGGTTCGGGAGGAGGGAGCGGAGCTCAGGATCCTGCTTTGCACCATGTCCCACAGTGGGGAGCTGAGAAACAAGCGGAGAATCTGGAGAAGACACGCTTCCCACTCCAGCAGGGTCAAGCAGGGTGGGTGGGCACTGTCGAGCTTGCTACCGAGCGCCCCACCGCCCCCGAGGCAGCGCTCTAGGACGCAGCCCGTAGTTCGGACATTCAGAACCTGGGGTCGGGGAAGAGCCCTTGTCTGAGTAGAAAGGTTTGGGCCATCTCGTGCCAGGTTTTCCCACCCTTCCCCCTCCCGGGACACCTCCTTTCCAGAGGTACCTCATAGATTCTGGAGGAGAGTACAGGAGGCGCCAACCCCGGCGTGGCAGTCTCTGTGCTTGAGAGGGACGCAGCCACGACGGATGCTGTCCTCACAGCCCAGGAGGGAGCTGCGGCGAGGGATAGGACCCAGGGCGGGGGGCGCCGCGCCACACCGGGAGGAAGCCGCTCCCGGGCACTCGTTCGAGCAAACAAAGCCCGGAACCTCTGGTGCCAGCGGCCGCGGGAGACGAGATGTCACCAAATGGCAGGGCGCGCGGGTGCCAGGGCCATTACAAGTTTCTCGCACTCCACAGAGCCCACACCAGATCCCGCGCGGACAACAAAAGATTCTCTACGCTTCCCCCACGGTCTCCGTGGAACCCCTTCTCCCATCCCAGAACCCAAACCTGGTGCTGGGCGAAAACAGCGCTCTTCTACCCAACCTCCTCCAGTCCTCGAGGGCAGAACCCCATACCCTTCCCCTGCCTTCGCACCAGGACAGGGCTATTCCGAGAATCCCACCCTCTTGGGGCCTCTGCTCCCTTCTGGCCCGAAAGTGAGGACCGGCCCTGGGTCCTGCACACACATCCCCAAGCCAGGCAGCCATCCGCACGGTCGCGGTCCGGGGCGGCGCCGGGCGTGTGCGCAGCGCGGGTGGGGAAGCTCGCAACACGGAGCTCGGCGGTCTCTGGGGCGCAGGGCGGAGAGGAGCGGCAGGCAGGGCTTACGACTGCTCCCCCAGGGCGGGCCAACGCTCGGGAGACAGAGACACGAGACAAAATAAAACGCAGGCACTACAAAGCCGACAGCCCGTGCCGGCCGCGGCCGCGGGACCCGCAGGCTGGAGCCGAGTCGCCCGTGAGGTGGGGCGCGCCGAGCCGCCCCAGCCGTACCTTTTCGGTGCATCGACGGGCAGACGGCCGGGGCTCGGAGCGGGCTGGTACAGCGTGTATCCCATTTAGTAATCCATTATCGAGGGGATCTCTCCGGGCCGCGAGCTGTGCTCTCTCCTTTGCAAGCCTTTGTCATTCCTACATGTGTGCTTGTCTCTTTGGGGGTAACAGTCGCGGCGACTACTTTCTGGGATGCAAACGTGCTGTGTTCATCTCCAATGACAGACACAGAAGGGGAGAGGAAAAAAGAAGGAAAAAACCAACAAGGAAGGAGTAAATGTTCAAGAAACTCTTCTCCAAATCCAAATTCCACTTGGATTCCACTCCGGTGAGTCCCTTCGGTGGTGTCTGCGCCGATTAACAAGTCATTTCAGGGTGGGGGGCAGGGTGGGGGCTGGGGCAGGGGTGCACGCTGTAGCCCCGCTCAGCGCCCTGGCGCGCTATGCTGCGGGTGTGGAGATGCTGGCCGCTGCCGCTGCTCCTAAGCGGGCATCGCGGGCGGTCGGCCCCGCGGAGAAGCGTCGCTGCTGCGTCCCGAGCGCCTGGGCAGCCGAGTGCGCGGGGAGCGGAGTTGGCTGCAGCCTCACCCCTTGCCGCTCACTACTCGTCTTTCCCCGGAGAGGCCGTCGCTCCCGGGCGGAGCCAAGTCCCGGACTGGATTGCGCAGAGCGGACTCTCCTCCTGCAACCCCGCCTTCTTTGGCTGGCGTCTTCTCCGACCCAAAGGAGAGCTGTGGTGTATGTGTGTGAATGCGAGCGAGCGAGGCGGAGAGAGGGAGAACCTACGCGGTGTGGCTGCAGGTGGAGCCTTGGACCGACTGGCCAGCGAAGCTTCCTTCCTCCACGATTCCTGGCCCCGCCGCGCGCTCGGCGGCGGAGGTCCTCGCAGGGTCGACTCGGGCAGGAGCCCAGCCCTTGCCTCCCCCACCCTCGCATCTGCTGTAGCCAGGGGAAAAAAAAATCCCAAACAGCATTGCTGAGCCCTGCCAAATCAGAAAAATAAATAAAAATAGACGTAGTGCAGGAGCGAGTTACAAGAAAGGATTTGTTCATCGATTTTCTTAAATGGAAAAGTTTGAAAGGATGAGGGTAAGTAAACGGCGAGCCTTTCTAATTCTGATTACTGTATCAAGAGGTGGATTCCAGAAGTGATGGACGCTCTACGCACCCAGATGAATTGGATAGAAGCTGGTACGGTCAAAAATACCTTCGAAGATATGAAGACAGCTATTAGTAAACGCACATACAACACGTTAATAAAGCATGTTAAAGAAGCAAATAAACTGTAGTACGAAGAGTGGTGTTATTAACGACAGTGACGATCTGTTTTAAAACTTAGTGTGTAGACTGTTCTGAGAAATAAGTAAACTTCAGAAATGAGACGCAAACAATTCCAATGAATCCAACAGCTTCATGGAGGAAGTAAATCCAACTTCTTCCAAGGCGCTATTGTTATGATCACACGAAGAATGGCAGGCACAGCCTTCCTCCACCGCTTGAACTTTCAATCGCCTAAAAGCCTTGCAGTTATAGGCTAGTGCCAACTGGTCGGGCCACACTATGTACCCCTCCCCCGGCCGCTGCGCGCTCCCCGCCGCGCCCGCTCGCCCGGCAAACAACTGCGCACTGTGGCCGCTGCTCTCCAAGTGGGCTTCGCAGATGGTGTGGGCCATAGCCACAGCCTTTAAAGAAAGTACACTGGGCAGTTAAACAGTTCTCGAAGCAGTATTTTATGTTATAGGGTCAGCTGAGAAAAGCATTGGGCGGGCGATCTGGGTCTCAGTCGCCCTTAGGCCAAGTGCGCTTAAATAAATGCATTAGAAACTGTACCTGTTACCTAATTGGGGCTAGGGCCACTAATAAGTCCGTATTCTCTTTTTGGCCATTCCTGCTGGGAATCCAAGTTACGTACAGACATTTGTTCATGAGGGCTCACGAAGTGTAAATGCACACACGACAACGCCATATATATATATATACTCATGTATATAGATATACAGATATATATATATTTCTTTTTTTTCCCGCCCACAAATCACCTGGACAAGGTGGGGAGATGGGGAGAGTGGTAAGGCGAAAAAAACCCAGTCTCCTTGCTGTTCTCCAGCGCTGCCAGCAGGGGCCGCCATCCCCACTTTCCCAAGCCAAGGCCCCTACGGATCCGGGGTGGCGGGGTGCGCGGCGCTCGGTGCGCGCGCAGCCCCCGCGACTCCGGGGCTGGCTGCGGGAGGGGGCTGGGACCTACGGGCGGCGGGCTTGGCTGCGCGCTCCCGCGGCTCGGGTGGGAGCTGGTTAGCGGACGTCCATCTCAAATCCGGTCGGGACCGGGGGAAGGGCTCTGGTGGGTCGCGACGGCCCGATCCTCGGCTGCGCTGTTTAACGCCCAGATTTAGGCTGGCGACGGCAGGGCCAGTGCGAGCCGGGTCCCTGAGCTCATCCGTGCGACCTGGCGCGGTCCCGCAGGTCGGGCCCAAGAGATCCCCGGGGTTCTCTGTCCGGCACCTCCACCCCGCCCGGGTCGCGGAGGCCCCTTCTTCGCTCTCTGCCGCCGATTTACATGCTAATTGTGTCTGGGAAAAGTTCTTTAATTGGCAGAATTAGGCAGAGCAAACGAATTGTTTCACAGGCTGAACCAAATTAATTCCGGGTTTAGCTTCTTCCCTTGGAGAAACAAACAATTAAGCTGTCTTGTTTGCTTTATGGATATATTGGAAATGCCCCACATCGAGTTTCAGGATATGTTTTTAAAAGGAAATTATTTTTCATTATTAATACTTGCATGTTTAATTTGCAGTAAGGCTGAGCCAAGAAGCAAAAGATTAAATTTACCTAATTTAAAATTATAGAATGCCAGAAGAAAAGTGTTTGAGTTAACTTTTGCTCGACTAAGAAATACTACCCGGAATCTTCCTGGCAATTACTAGATTGTAGAGTCTCACCGTCCAATTAGGCGCCCATCATCCTGACCAGGTGAGATTACCTTTCCACCTGCCAGGGGAGAGATGCTCCGAGAGCAGGAAGAAAAGCCAGCTGTGTCGCTCCTGAAGCCTGGGGGGAGCACCTGTGGGGAGGCTGTCATGAAACCTCACGATGTCATTTCTCCTTCTGTGCACCTCAGACTCATTTCCAGGAACCGACTTTAACTTTTCCATAAGACCGCTGCCCCTCCAAAGCCTTTGAAATCTGCCGTCTACCCTGTCCCTTCAGGAAAAGAAAGCCAGAGGGGGAGTTAAAAGGATCACAGAGAGAAGGAGAAGGAAATTTACACTGTTTTGTAGTTAAGTGGCATGAAGTGGAGTGAGGAGGGCCTTGGTCTCTGGAGGCCGATTGTGGTTATGTCATTTACTGGCTGGTGATCTTGCGCAAGTCGCTTCTCTCTCTGGAGCCCCAGTGGACACACCTGTCAATGGGGATTCATGGACTTCTCACTTCCCAGGAATTGTGTGAATTAAATGAGATGCTGAGTGTAGGGCCACGAGTCTAGGGGCTGGCACACACTGCTTAAAGGTTAACTAGCATCATAGTCATCTTTGTCATCTTCCACATCAGTCCTACTACCGCATTTTACAGGAGTCAGATGGAGGCACAGAGGAAAGACTCGGCTTGCTTTGTGTCAGTGCTGGGAACTACCCATAACAACTCCTCTTCAATAAATGCCTATAAGACAATGCCCGCCTTCCCTCACATCACCTGGAAAAGGTATGGAGGAAGATTAAATAAAAACTTGCCCAGGAACTGTTTAAAGACGACATCTAGCTATTTGATCAGAATCTCTGCTTTAAGACAAAAAGGAGTAAAGACCGTGGAAAAGGAAGAGTCTGCTGGTGCCTACGGCCATCTCCTTAAGAGTGTGACTTCCTGGGAGCCTGCGGGAGTATAGTTTGTACATTCAGGCCATTGTCAGTTATATCCAGGAAACCTCTCTGTATCTACAGTCCCTTCTCAGAAGATCCCTTTACCTCTTTGCCTTAAATTAGAGGTTTTAAAATTCATTTGCACATTAAAATTACTGGGGGACTTTTAAATGGCACAAATTCCCAGGCTCCAGAGATTTTCATTTTTCAGGCTGGGGTGGGACCTGGGCATGGGTATTTTTTTAAGCTCCCTAGATGTTTCTAGTGTGTAGCCAGGGATGAGAACCACTATCACAATGAGTCCTGGCTGTGTTCTAGAACACTGCTTTTCCCAGCCTTTTCTGGTAGGGCTGTTTCTTTTCCCTCTTGCCCATTTATCCCAGTGTTGGGAAGTGAGGTCAGTGTCCTTCTTGATTCTGGGACCATTTCTTCTCCCCTCAAAAACCCCCGGACCTTTGGAGGCTGTGCTCCACAAATTCATTGGTGCTGTCATCTGCAGATCTCATTGTACCCTGCTCTTCAAAGACTTAGCACCAGGCTTACTGTCCTCATCTGTCCCACACCTATCACCATTCATGGAAGTGTTAGCGTCCACCTAACCACTAACCCTCTGCTTTCTCGGTTTCTTGCCTTCCTCATCTACACTGTCTTTTTCCCTTACTCACCTCTGCCCCCACTCGGAGCTTCATGCTGGGCTGTATTATCAGAAAGGGTTCCATCACAATCACTAATTCTAACATCCCACTCTCCAGTTGCAACTTCCTCTCATTCTAGCTTGCGTGCCTACGCACCCCTCTGCACTCACTGATTTCATGAAGACTTCCAGGCCGTATGTCCTGCCCCTCTCTCTCCATCCATCCAGTTCGTTCATTCCCCTCTCTGTCCAGCATAGCTTCATAATAGCAATCTCTCTCTAGCAAATACTTTCAACTCCCTTGCTCCTCTATCTTTTACTGACACCCATCTGCCTAAATACCAGTCCTGAATTATATAAAATCAGCCTTCTCTGCTCTCGCATCAGGCAGCTGAAGCCTGCCGGAAAAAAAATTTGAAGCGCACATCTAGGCAGGTGGTACCCTCAGTTATCAACCTCATTTGGACCCTCAACACTGCCTCTTCCCTTTCTCTTAATTAGTCTCTAACTTTCTCCCCTTAACCAGATGTTTAGCCCTCGGTGCCTCCCACTTCCCTGAAAACACAGTCTATCAGATGGGAACTTTTCGCTTCTGTACTCGTCATTTCCTACATATCTCCTTTTGTGGTGGAGGCAGTGTCCCTCCTCCAGTCTGAGACCAGTCTCTCCACCTGTTCTCAGATCGTTTACACATTCTCAGAAGTCCTGTCCTATTCTCTCCACCTCTTCTGCCTCGCCTGCATGTGTATGCTGTCTACATCAGCATGTAAACAAGCTTTAGTCTCTCTCATCTTACAAACAAGCCCCCCTTGGATCCTCTGTTTCTTTCATGCTACTTCTCTCCTCTCTTCCAAAGCCAAATGTCACCAAGGATTGTTGACAGTCTGCACTGCCACTTCCTCCTCTCCCACTGAGTCATTCCTGTCTGGCTTCGGTTCCCAGCACACCACTGACAAAGCTTTTGCTAAAGTCTATGATGACATCCGTGAGAGTAAATCCAGTGGACATTTTAAAGTTTTCATTTTATCTGAATTCTCAGCAATGATGAACACGACCACTCCTTCCTCTGTGACGTGCTCTTTGCTTTTGACTTCTACAACACATGATTCCCTCCTGGTTCACTCCTACCTCTCTCCTTTTTTTAACGTTGCTTTTCTTTTGAGGAAATTGAAAGATACAGAAATTTTCAAAGAATAATATAATACCTCAATTTTCACCACCCAGAATTGACAATGTTACTATTTTGTCATATTTGTTTCCTGTCTTTATTTCAAGAAATAACGTGTGTGTAAAGCCTACCTTCCCTAGAATCAAGTCTTTCCCATTGCCCTCCACTTCTTCAGAGGTGACACTGTCATGAGTTTCCTGTATATCCTTAT